ATATTTTTGCTTTTATTCTATTAAATATATTGAAAAAAATTGGTAGTCGGTGGGATTCGAACCCACGCGGGGAAATTCCCCCAGACGGTGAGGAGAAGAGCCCATCTGTGCGCCTTGACCACTCGGCCACGACTACCGAAAGTCTTCCTCCTCAATAGTGATGTCATGATTGAAAGGACATTGCATCAGTTGAGTGGATTCAGCATAATATCAACTCCATACTCATTTCTTTAGCCTGAATATACGTAGCACATGGTTAAGGGATCTTTTTTTAAAATTCCATTTTATCCTCCTAAAATTTGCGTTATCACATAATTATTTTTCCTTCCGTTTGTTCGATTAGTTAGCGAAAATGTGTAAAAAATGCAATGCCGTGCATCGAGACAGGGTTGTTAAAACTCGTGTGTTGCGGATAATCGTTTCTTAAATCACTACTACGTGTAGATCTAGGATACGTTGTGAGGGAGGGTAATTAAGTGGTAGTGTAATCCTGGCAAAAAAAACTTAAATTCCACGGAGACATGTTTAGTCTTTGTTTTGATTCCGATTTTTTTTTTGTAATCCAGGATATCCATGAAGAACTAACTGAACTTGGTTTCAACCCAATCAGAATTAATCAACTCGCAAACAGACGTACAAAAATCCCCCTACCAATATTCTTAATAACATTACCTAGAAATGAAATCAGTAAGAAAAGTTATGAAATAAACCGCATTTACTATAGGTCTATTACAGTTGGCGACTACCACAGCAACAAAGTTACTCAATGTAATCTTTTTCATCACAGCTCAGATAATTGCCATAGGATCCCCAGATGCTTAAAATGCTCCGGTGCTCACCCTACCAGGGACTGTAACATTGAAGGAAAAATTAATGAAATAAAATGCATTAACTGCAACGAAATCGGTCTCTCCGCCTCATGCGGAGGATGCAAACTCTTCCCTAAACCTCCAAAAGGACCAATCATCAAAAATAACGCACCTAAAACTAATACAGTTCGTGAAGACTATACTTTTGCAAACGCTTTAAAATCTAACCAACAGATGGCGCCCCAAACGGATGAAAATCCAGAAACCTCAAGCACTTCAAGAAAAATCCCACAATATAATGCAAAAAACCACCAGAAAATTCCTTTCAATAGTAATTTTGAAGCCATCGATCAACTCAAAGCTCTTGCCGAAATTTTCTCAATCATCCCAGGACTGCTTACAAATCTCCATAAAATCAAAAATGCAAAAGGACTAGCAAACAAAAAATTCGCTATTCTCGAAGCATTTATGGATATCTCTGATGAATAATTGCAATACCACTATATTATTTTACAAAGAAGCATCCCCTTTAAAAGATTTCCCCTCCCCGTTCTTCTCTTTCCTTAATTTTATTTTCACTTAAAAACCACTCTTTCTCAATCTCACTCCAAAATGGAGATTGCCCCTCCCACCTCCTATATAGTTACTTAACCTTCAACGGGAGCAGCCAATCGCATTCGTTTCTCTCCACTCTCCGCAAGATCAACTTTTTCTCTCGCGGAACTTCATTAAGTGCCTCAAATGTGCTGGCAGCCACATCACTCGAGACTGCACCAAAACTATGCAAACCCCTGCCAAGTGCGCTCTCTGCGGAGGTCCACACCCCGCCAACTTCTCCGGATGTGCTAAAAATCCATTAAACTTCAAAGCCGCAAAACCACCAACCATAAATGTTTGGGAAGAACGAAAAAAGCAATTTCAAACTAAAAACGCCCCCCAACCTCAAGCCATTCCTCAACAACCTACCCAAAACAATAGCTCAACAGAGGCTCCTCTTGTAAATACGATGACCCAACTACTAAGTCAAATGGGCACCATGCTCCAAATCATTCAAAGCCAGCTGTTAACCACTAAATAATGTCTATTACACCAAACTGTAATAATCCTTTACTCCGCATCTACAGCTGGAATGCAAATGGACTAAAAAAGCACATAGATGAACTAAAAAATGCAATAGCTAAACACGACCCGGATATCATTGGTATCCAAGAAACGCATCTTCTGCCTTCTGATACTATTAAAATACCCAACTACTCCTGCCATAGAAGTGACCGTCTTACCCACAGGGGAGGCGGCACTGCTCTTTTTATTAAAAACTCAATTAAGCACTTCCCAATCATCATTAACACCCAAACGTTTGAAAATACCACCATTAATATCTGCCTGCAAAATAACTCTTTCATCACGGCCTCCAGCATTTACAGACCTCCACATGGAACCATAAACACTATCGACTTAGATTCTATCCTCGTCCCAAACCATAAAGTTATAATATTTGGAGATTTCAACGCTAAACACCCCTGTTGGACCCCAGGAAGAGCAAACAGAAATGGTACTGTAATCTGCAATTGGGTGGCGGCTTCGGCTCTCGACATCATTGCTCCTGACCATCCTACGCATTTCCCGCACAGAGGATCAAACTCCATCCTTGATTTTGCCATTGCAAAAAATCTCAGACACTCTAACGTCACTAGCATAAATGAATTAAGTAGTGATCATAATCCCATCATCATCGATCTTCTTCTAAACAATATCCTCCCTCCTGATCTTAGAACTCATAAATCAACGAATTGGCTTAAATTCCAAGAAATTATACATCACACCATGCCTGGAAATCCCAAGATTGAACACAATGAAATAGAAGACGCTATCAAGGACTTCAACTCCAAAATTATTTATGCAATCAACTGTTCTTCCACTACGAGAGTGATTAACACCCCCCACCTCAGACTCCCTCTTCATATCAGGAATCTCATCAAAACTAAAAACAGGTTCAGAAAACTCTGGAATCAGACTCGTTACCGCCCCTACAAAAGGGAAGTAAACTCCTTAATTAGACAAATACGCATCTTAATTAATGATCACAAAAATAGAAGCTGGAAAATCCTACTTGATAATCTCAGCCCCGAGGATAATTCTTTGTTTAACTTGAACAGAATTATCACTCGTAAAGCTTACAATTTTCCACCCCTCAGTGGCCCGAGTGGAATGGCTTACTCTGATTTTGAGAAAGCGGAAGCTTTCAAAGATACCCTGGAAGCTACATTCCAAGAAAACGCTTTTCCGTATTCGGACGAAAAAATAGAAGAAGTGGAAAGAGTCGTCTCTGATTTCCTAGAAAATGATCAAACACTCTCCAACATCCCCCCCTTGGCCACCCCAAACGAAATTAAACAAATAATCAAAAATCTTGTAAATAAGAAAGCTCCAGGTCCAGATACTATTCCTAATATTGCTCTTAAATATCTTCCGGACAAGGCAATCACCAATCTGACTAAAATCATTAACAAGTGTCTCATGGCAAATTACTTCCCTAAAAAATGGAAAGAAGCTACAATTGTTATGATCCCAAAACCAAATCAAGATCATAAATTCACTCAAAATTACCGGCCAATCAGTCTTCTAAGCTCCACTGCAAAAATTTATGAAAAAATCTTACTAAATAGAATCAAAATCCATAGCAACATTGAAAACTGCATCCCCCCAGAACAGTGTGGATTTCGAGAGGGCCATTCTACTATCCACCAACTAACCAGAGTGACCAACATTATTAATGAAGGTTTCACCCATAATCTATTTACTATTGGCATTTTCTTGGATGTTAAAAGAGCATTCGACAGAATGTGGCACGATGGGTTGATTTATAAAATGATCAACTTCAAATTTCCTTTCTATCTTATCAATATCATCAACAGTTTTCTCCACGACAGATCATTCAATGTAAAAATTAAAAATAGTTATTCAAATAATGGAACAATGGCTGCTGGCTGCGCTCAAGGGTCGATTTTAAGTCCTTTTTTATATAATCTCTTCACCTCTGACTTTCCACACCATGCCAGTGTCAGTGTGTGTCTCTTTGCTGATGACTCTGCTGTGTTAGCTCAGGGGGCTAACTTAAAATATACCGTCAAAGCTCTCCAAAATTATCTCAACATCTTAGAACTTTGGTTAACGGACTGGAGGATAGCAATCAACGTTGATAAGACTCAAGCAATAATCTTCAAAAAGTATGGCACAATAAACCCCAACGATAATCTAAATCTTTTTGATGAAGAGATAAACTGGGTCTCGGTAGTACGCTACCTTGGACTTCAGTTAGACTCGAAACTCACATATAAGCAGCATATCAAATTCCTGACTGAAAAATTTTGGAATAAAATTCATTTATGTATTTCACTCATAGGCAGAAACTCTCCTCTCTCATTAAATAATAAAGTCTTACTATACAAACAGATCCTTCGCCCAATCATCACCTACGCCTCCCCTGTTTGGGGTTCGGCCGCACAAACTCACATGAAAAAGGTTCAAATCATGCAAAACAAAATTCTCAGAATAATGACAAATTCCCCCTGGTATATAAGAAACAATGTAATCCACAATGATCTTCAAATTGAACCAATTGCTTCATATATCACTAAGCTCTCTCGAAATCTCTTCACCTCCATTCTCCATCACAATAATCCAATTATTAAGGCTCAAATTCTTTTTACAAACCCCCACTCCAAATTCAATTTCGCATATAAAACTACTAAATGGTCCCTCCCACTTAAGCCCCCATAACTTTTTTCATTTTTCACAATTATTAGACCTTCATTATGCAAGATTTTGGTACATTTAACTTTGTTTAATATCCTCTAATCACACAGCGTTGATACTGCAAAGTGTCACTGGTACTCTTGATGTTTCTTTTCTTTTTTTTAGTCCAATCGCCCTTAGGCGTCTTCTACATTGTTTCTTACGACCCACTATATCCATTAATTTGAGCAAAAGCGATGACTCGCTGACGCTCGTCAGTTTTTCTTATGTCTGTCTGTCTGTCTGCGGAACTTCATTTTTCAAGACTTACCCACTGTTCAATAGATGGCGCCAGGTATGCTGGTTTTTTTTCATCTGCTTTTTTCACAGGAACCATTCATCTGATCTCTTCAAAATTTTTTCCTCTCATCCGCAAGACTATCCTCTCCACAAAGTAAAATTCCATTTTTTTCCAAAGGACTTAAATAGATATCAGTTTTGGGCTTGTAGAGCGCTCTGGGCGCCCATAGAATCTCAACGTCAACGTTAGTCTTTGTTTTAAAACAGAGACTGAACATGACTCTGTGGAATT